ACTTCAATTGGATACAAGTGTACATGTAAATGTATATGTAGATGTATATATAAATGTATATATAACTTTCTTATTTCAAACACTTTGCCGAGGTACCAATACTTGGGTATTCACCATTAATAGAAAGGTATCTTTCAATCTCATCCCGTGACATTGATATTATATCATATATGAGCAGGTTTACGCAGCCGAAGTCGTGTACCATTATTAGATATTGGATGTTAGTAGATGTTATATATGATATTACATATTAGATACCATTTTATTTGTCAAGTCAAACTCAACTATCCTTCATGATAATGCCCTTACCAGTAAAGTGTCGAATAGATGATGTGATGGATAAAATAAAGTGGACGAAGATCTAGAAACCGTTTGAGAAAAGGCTTTCAAGTTTCGTCTCATCATTGATTGATGACCGCATTGAATGTCTTTTATTTTCTCACATTCATCTCATCAATCCATCTCAATCCATCTCAATCCATCTCAATCATCTCAATCATCTCAATCATCTCAACTTTGTACGGTACGACCAATAAAGTGTATTTCTGCATCAACGTAAGCCTCGTACAAGTTTTTATAGCCTGCCATCTGATATATATCACTGAGAATAACCGTTTAATCACCATCGTGAGACGAGAGGCTCTGACAATTTTGGCCGGGCGTTAGTTTGATCTAGGGGTCCTAAACGGTTGATGTCGCAAACACTAGATAATACCTCGTAGAATGGGAAGAAAAATGATCGTTGTTGCTATTTTGGGTCCATTGAATGAATCTTCCTTGTCAACCTTGTCAAGTAAGTACCTACCTGGTATTACTTGCTCATCCCCTTCCACTCTTTCATCGATTTTCTTATCTTATCAATATCCATCCATTGACGATGTCACTAATAAGACTCACCATTCACCCACCGACCGACCGACCGACCGAAACCGTTGATCATTGATATGCAAATTTTGACCGTCTGTCGACTTCATAGCGGTGTGATATGTGATCGGGAACTCCGTCATCCGTTACCTGTCCCGTGATTCGTGATTCCCCACAAAGTCACTTACGTAAGAAGTGGATCTGTCATCTTTTTGAATCCATCCCCGCCGTGATTTTCATGGATCCATGTTCGATTGGACCTAATTACCGTGAAAGTGCCTTTTCTTCTCCTCACTTATGACTTTGCTTCACTTCACTTCACTCACACATCACTCACATTACTTCACTCACTTCACTCACTTTACATAGACTGTTCGTGGCGATGAACATGATCTATCCCCGTCCCTAGGTATACCTACATATACCTACATATACCTACATCTATATTTATCGAACCCCCATATAAAATATGCACTCAAAGTAGCATCCAAGTCAAAATCCAAGCCCAAAAAGAGACGAAAGCAAGGTACGCAAGGACTCCCAAATCATTACAACCCAATGATTCCACCAGGGTCCAAACTCAAAAGTGCTATGTGATCACAGCGGGAGAGAATATATTCAATAGCTTGCTTACTATTGTGTGATAACGATAACGACGAGCTTATTCTGACATCTCAACATCCACTCCGATTCGGCTTCAGAAGAGCCATTGAAGATATTAAAAATATCGAAAGAGCTAATATTATTAGGCGTGTGCAGATGTGACTTGTTCTTAGCGTGACATTGCTTCATTCTCTTCGGGTACATTTTTAGCACGTGAGCTGATATCGACATCAAGTGGGCTCAGTGACTGGGCTTCCCTTTTCTGCACGTCTTCACATCTGCACGTCGCTTCTGCTTAGAAACTAGAACCAATTCGGGTATGGTCCGTATGATATTGTTGAGGTGACATCTTTTCATCTTCTTCTCCTCGATTCATTCAATTGCAATCTTGGAAGAGAATTCTCAAAGATCCTCGATTGGGTTTCGTAAAGCGCTGGGCTGATTATCGGCCTCTTCCATTTTCTTTACTCCAGCGTGATAATCCGGCATGCTATACGGATTGGTGAAGGCCGACCAGGACAGCTGTCATGGCGGAGCAGTTAGCTGTCTCATATCGCGCCGTCTTTACCCAGCACCCACACCAATATAGGTCCATCAGTATTGATTCATATCCACAGGGAATTACTCGGATTCTTAAAAATACATCGACTGGGTTAAACTTTTGGTGGCGAATTATTGGTGTATATCGTATGGTACACTTTGTGTTACGGTCGCTGTTCTCCTGCGCCTGCAAATCTCTCAGCCATACGAACGATCATCTTCGACAGCCCAAATCCCGACCGGCACATTTCGTTCTGACTTGATATTTTGATACCTTCTAATTGCACGAGGTTTAATCCGAATCACAGTATGTGATTCGGAGTGTGGGGTGATGAAGCATTCGATCTTTTCGTGTCTCACGAGTTCATCATCTTCATAGTCAATGATAAAGTTATGATTAGTGATCAATAGCTTGATTATTCTGCACAAACATGATTGTTCGCATCTTACATTCCCATAGATCGAAGATAACTTTCTAAACCTGTGTCGGGTCAAACAAGAGTGGCTGATTAAGTAATTGCCTTGTATCTAAACATTTTTTAAAGTTCATCTCTTCGCATCTATTGAAGTCTTCCAGTGAAATGGACATTATGAAGCGCATCCTCAAGTGCAGTTGTCCTTCATTTGAGTCGGCATCTATCACAAATGTCTCTTCAAAAGCTTCTTTTCCATGTCGAGTCTATTGATCACTTCTTTCTTTTACTTCCAGAAAGGTCAGTCTGATCTTTCGTCCCACTCGTCTTGTGGCTTCTTCCCTCTTGACTCCTGGCATGTCGGTCATATAGACGCCTCTCTGTTCCTGTGTTATCTGTTGAATCGCTTGGATTTAGCTGTGCAGCGGCCCTTTTGACCTTGTCGTGTATGTCCCAGTTTTTGCCACTACTGTCGCCATTGCTATGTCGGCTGGATGGGTAGGAAGATCGTTGATTTCCGCCATTTACTTTACTATACAAATTCGCTTGCGTTTTTGCGTGTTCTGCGTCTCTCCTACTCTGTCTTGAACCAGGTGTGGTCATTTTTGCTATCATAAGATGGATGATACTAATACAAAGTAACCGTTTCCAACGAAAGAAATGATAGTATGATATTATGAATACTGAGATCTAATTAGATAAAGTATGATTGCATCAGCATCGACAGAAAAGAAGCCGCATTATATAGAAACTCCAACACTATAACAGTCGATAAGAAAAGCCTGAAGGATTCCCATCTCATGTATACCGGCAATACAATGGTTGGATCGAGGGGTGTCGCATGTATATGAACAAAATGATGTGTCGAAAAACATGTTTAGCCGCTGGTAAGCCAAGCTAGAGAGTAACCATCAAAATATAGATTTTAGTTGCAAGGCCGACACATGTATGTATGCGCAAATCGTGAGGAGTAATCGTGATCAAAATCCAGCTGAAAAAGCTTCACTTATTCATTCGCATGTGCAACGAGCGAAACTGTTATTCTCAATCAATATCCGCACTCGCGGCCGTCTTGCATCTGATCGTTCAAACAAACACCAGCAACGATAAACATCAACACACCAACACATTTTCTCCGTGTCAATTAATGAATATATCATATGCGCTATCACGTTCTGTATATTGTACAAATCATCGAAAATAGATGGACTTTTGTACACATACATAGAAAAATAGGCCGTCGCCCAAATATATTCGACTCGACTCAAGGAGATGAGACGAGATGAGAGAGCGAGTCGTATTCAAGTTTTTGATGTAAGTCTAGCCAGTGTTTGAGCTCTATCTTGCATATAACAAACAAGAGGTGTGGGAGAGTAGATTTCTAGTCGCAGGGTAAAATTGGCGCTTCGCTCATATACATACATATACCATACCTGTAGCTATAAGGGAAAGTACTCCTCGTTTTTATAAGTTTGCAGGTATGTATGGATGGATGGATGTGTTCTCTGTTCTAAACGACCATTTCATTTCTTCTATCTATTTTCTCATCTTAATTCCAGATATATCATTTTCTCAATAATTAGATAGCTACTTCTACTGTATAAAGTCTTCATACTAATCATTTTAATCTTAGATTTAGATTCAGATTTAAATTCCTCCCTTCCAAGTTGCACCTCAATCGAACAATCTGGAATTTCATATATATAGCTAGGTAGCTTTCTACTATCCACATGATTTCCTGTCCATGAAGACGCAGAAGTCATTCAGGATTGTTATTTGTATCTCCTCCCATAAAACACCTATCTACCATACTGATTGATTGATCGATTGATTGTGAGTAAGTGAGCTAGCGCTTACATTAGTTCAGAGCCTGTGTATCTAGTCTGGGAGTGTGTCTAGGAGCACCAGTGGGTGTACGGACTGACGGGACACTGCAAAATGGACATGTCAATATCTCTTGATACATCAGTTCATATATCTTAGGAATTATCACAATCTTTCATTGGAAATGGAACAATGGAAGAATGAATTCGTTAGAGATTTCAAAAATGGGAAAGTGTCCCATCAATTCATGTACCTACTAGCGGGAGTGGGAGTGAGAATGCAGATACAAAAGGAAATCTCACTACGCCATGCACCAACTTTCCGTAAAAATCTCGACACGATGATTTTGGTGCGGGCTTTGAAATGTTTCGAGTAAGGGTATGACTGGGTATTCTCATGATTCATCGGATATGTATATAATGGTCTATATGCGAATAAACGGCATACTAAAACGTGTGAGGAACTATTTCCGATACTGTATTAAATTCCAGGTTAAGTAGTCAAGAGTTCGAATCAAGAATTTACACTTTGAAGATCTACACATTCAAATTCATACTTCTATTACCATGCAATACCATTGTTCGAGTGAACCATCATATTAACTCATCACAATCACTTCACGAACAAGATTCCTCAGTTCAAAACATGCCGATTCGCTATACACCCCGTACCGCTATCCATCCATGAAACTCTTTCAACTTCAAGGGCAAACATACACATACGCTAATCTCATTCCAACACCCACTACCATCTCATCTACCTTCCCTCACGCCTCCCATACCAAATCCGCGTCCAATCCTCAACACTCCACTCTACCTCCATGCTTCTCCTCAACCACTCCTGCAAAACCAAATACCAAATCCTCCGATCCACCAACCGTCCGACCAATCGACCGGGTAAAAATTTCTTAAATCCATAGATGATATCCAGATAATTGACGTCCAAGAGGTTGAGCCACTGTAACGTCGCTGTGATGGTCGACCGATGGACCACCCATGCGTACAGGATATTGAAAAATTCGGCGTATATGCTGGGACGCGTGTATTGGAAGGCGTTCTGGGGAGTGAAATCGTTGAAGTCAATATGTGTTTTCGTTGGGACATTATGCGACATGGTATGGTATGAAGTACCTTGATTTGATCGACATAGCTTAGTGCGTCTCTGAAGTCTGGATACCGTCGTGTATCCATGTTTTTCTCTTGCTTCAATATTGTCAGAAAACTCTGCTGTCTATCTTTTGATGTCCATGTTAGCCCCAGACATTCTATCCCCGTTGAGCACACGCATACACACCTCTTGACTGTCGCAGTTGAGAATATAGAGATACGGGCGTAGTACCCTTGACGTTGACGTTGCCGTTACCGTTGCCGTTCAGCAAAAAAAAGTGCCACTACAAGAATCGAAGCGTCTTTGCCAACCCAGGAGAATCCTTCAGATATTAGTAAACTGGGATAACGCTAATGCTACGAACTCAATGCAACAAACAGGTGTTAGAAATGCTGAAAAAAGGAAAATGCTTAAAGGATTGTATGCCAACGAGTAATGAAGCTTTGGTAAGTGGTATGATTAGATATCAAGATTGCGAAGAAACATATTCACTTGTATCTCTGAAAACCGACAAAGGAATGGTACTGTGTTTGGAAGTTGAAGGTTCCGGAAAATGCAAGTGCTAGTAAGAGCTATCGTAGGGGTGGCTTATTTGTTCGAAACACTCTATATCAAACGTGTATGTAGAAAGAACGAGGCAGATACCATTACCATGGGTACGAGCAAGCTTCTTCATTCGTGTCACGTGCGATATCCCTCACAAAATCTTTCCCGTCATACTTAGATGACATAAGAGGAGACTCTAGCTCTTGTCGGGAACGTGGCAGCGGTGGGGGCAAGTGAAGTGCGTTAATTTCAGCTGTAAAGTAGATGGATTGAATAGATGGATGGACTCCGGGTTGCGAAGTTCGTATTTTGAGAACATTGCCCGCTCCTTTTTGGATGTCTATTAGTATCAACACATCAAACCATACAGATAATTGCACCTCATGCACACATCTCAATCACCCAGAAAAGTTTTTATATTTTTATAATCTCGAATTCATTAAGCAGTCTGTAATACAGCGATTCGTTGTTGTCATGTAGATGCATTTCACCCTTGTTCGTAGAAGATAATTGACGATAACCCAGAGAGCCTGCCAATATCCAAGCTTCCTCAAAGATTGGAAAACAACCATCTTGCCCACGGATGCTCAGTAGTTACCATCCACCAAGCTCCTGTTGGATTCGTTCGAGCATTTGAGTACCGTGGAACCCCATACCCCGTTTTACTTTAAGAACATCAAACTTAACCAAGTCTTGTTCAACACCTTTCTCAAGTCCCAAATCTTCATTTTTGATGCTCAAATCATTAGAACATTTTCTTCATCCTTGACATGCGCTTCATCTCCAACATGTTTCTTATATTTGTAGTCTGCACATGTTTGGCCTTGATGAGACGCATGGCATGGGATACAAGTCTCAACGAGACATCTAGCACAAGTGTGGGACTTGGTGGAGATATTGACCCGGTAGACTTGTTCACAGTCTGCAGTTGGACAATAATGAAAATCATCGCGATGATGACGAATGTACGAAGTGAACGATGCCTCAAGTACCTGCTCAAAACTTCTGGATGGTAAATTTTGCTCAATCTCTTGCAGAGAGAGAACAACATCGCATCTGATAGCAGTACAATTGATAGATACATGTTGGTCGCCAGATGTGTTCAAGGAGCATAGATGCTCAAAGCATTGGAGGCAGTACAAATGGCCACACTTGGTACGGATTGGACACTCAGCAGGACACCAGCAAACGCTGCACTTGTCCTTATCGTCGCTTGTCTTTATCTTGTCAATCTTGCCAGCAGCAGCGTTCCTGGACTTTAAGACTGCCATGGCGGTGTGGTAGATCTTAGGATTACCAGCAAGTAATATCTTCTTCGGATTCGACAATATATCAATTGAAGCAACATCTTTTCCAAGAACTGATACGATTTGATCAAATCCGCCACCTGCTACCCACGAAAAGTCACATGGAGTGAGCTTAATAGCATAGCCTTCTACTCCCGATGTGATGATTTTGTGAAGTGTGTGTTGAGCGCAGTCGATATTTTTGGGCGAACCGTAAAGCCGAAGTTGTTTTCTTTCTCTGTCTCGATCAATAACAATGTTATAATCGCTTGCAACTCTCTTGATCTTCATCAATCCAATTGGTTGCATGAAGTAATCATCCCAAACTGGCTTACCCGCTACCAGAGCCACCGTACCGATCAATACCTTCTCCAGCTTATTCTTGGCGTTGGCAAAGTTCTCTCCGGGCTCCCCTTCAATCTTTAAAGTTGTGAACTTCTTCGCAACATCAGTACTTGGGTATGCTCTGATGGCAATTCGCTGCTCTATCAGTAACTTCTTTTCTTCTTCAAATTGCGATTGTACAGCCAAGTAAATCTTTGTGGTGACCTTAAAACGAGTCGAAATGATTTGTTGAGCCATGATTTTTCCTTTTCCTAATATCTCAATATTTCTATGGTTCAATTGTGTAATCGCCTCCCGGGCATCTGACTCGTGTTGCAATCGTACCCTTACTTTAACTCTCTTAGCTGCCGGGTCTTGAACAGGATCCCAAGACTCTACGGGGCCAATGGCTGAGCAGAATTTCTCAACATATTCACGAGATACTTCGTCAAATGCTTCATAGCTCGGTCTGCCAATTTCTAATTCAGCTGGTCGGTATTTCTCATCCATCGCACCTAAGATGTCCTCTTTGTCTGCAAACACCGGTACGTTCTTCAAGATACATAGGAATCTATATTTTTGATCGGTCAAGATGTGAGAGATGATTGGCGAGTCGCAAGCCAAATGTTTGCCTACAACTCTGTAGTAACCGTCGTTAAAGTTGATGCATATCATATTCGCGATATCCTCATTTGCACATTTCAGGACGGCCATCTTAGAAGATCGATACCAAGACAAAAATACTTCATGAAAGTCGACTTCACTTGAAAATCCAGAGACGGGAGACAAACTTGTAGGGACTGGGCTCGCCTTTAGTTTGGAGTACATCTTAATTTTACTCCAACCAGACTCCAATTCTTCGCTTAAAACCGAGCCGACAGTGGAATCTTCATTTCGCAGATAGGCAAGAACGGAGGGCGGATTACCAATGCTAGTAATTCGAATGCAAGTTTTAGATATTCCAAGGTCGAGTCTAGCTAGCATTGTCTCAATGTACTCAATGTTGGCATCCTGTGGCAAGCCGGTGATTCGGATAGTTGTGAAATCAGACGGGACCGAAATTCTGTGTACTTTTCCTCCGTCTCTAAATATTGTCAAAGCTTCAGAGATTGCGCGTAAGATCATACCTTTTGGTACATTATCCTAGATAATTGATCAGTTTCAACTTCAATACACTAGGAAGTTGAAAAGGGGACAAGCCATGCATAATTCTTAGTGACTGCAGATGGTACATTGAGAACGATAAATGATTTATCCATGGTGGTGGAAGAAACTGGGCGACTTTTCTTGGTATATTGCGTATCTGAAAGTTTTGTTTCGACGTGCTCGGGCTCAATTGGGCTATGTAAATAAAGGCAATCGCTTCCCTTTGTACACTTTCCTCTAGTAAAGAAACTGCAGGTTGTGCGGAGAGGAGTTTTTGAAAAAGCTTCCACTGCAATCTCATGACTGAAAGGACAGTTATCACCCCTTTGACATCTCCCTCTTGCGAAAAAGCTACAGAGTGGAGTGGCAGATAGTCTTTGTGACGGAGTTGCTGGCTCAATCCCATGGCTGAAAAGACAGTCTTCACCTTTCTGACAAGAACCTTTCGCAAGGAACTTACAAGCGATGAGTTTTGTTGCTATAGGACGTAGGTTCGACCAGAAGGTTGGTTTTCGTCATTGAATGTCAACGAAAGAATTGAATCAGGCGTGTTTGTTATGATTGTTGTATCATGGCTGTATTGACAAGTATTACCACGGCCGCACCCAGTAGAAGTTATAAAGTACTTGCAAGGTAGCATTGTAGAGTTCTGCTCCTCTCGTCGGATAGACGGCGGTTGAAAGTTGTTGATGTGTTGGATTTCTTTGGTGGGAAGTGTGGGACCTTTTGTGATGAACACTTAATTTTTCTCACAAACTTTTAGTCGACTTTGCAATTTCAAAGTAGGTACCTAGCTTGGTTATATGTAAAGATGAAATGGGAGTGAAAATATGGCTTTGCTGAAAATCGTGATCGTGAATATGCCGAAACCTTATAAGAGAATGGGATTGCTTTCCAGTCCACCTTCGAAATTATCCGGCGATACGAATACTTCTTGGATGATACCAATGATCAGGAAGAATGTAATGGTCCTTGCTCACTGTTTATCTTCCGCAACCAAAAGTATTGAATGCTGAGAATATTGAAAATTCGACAATCTCATTCCTCACCGTCGCGGCAAAGAGTGGTTATCAAAGAACATCTGTCAAAGTGCCGATCTGAGTATGAATTACCCCTCGAATAATAGTGTATTTCAATTGTGATAAGTTTGAGATGAGAATATGATTTGAAGTTATATCGCAAATATAGATATGGTTTGTGGGTAGTGATTGATGAAGTGTGATAAATAATTTTTGTGAAGTCGTTTATTTGTATATGCTTCAGTCCAAATGCGCTAGTGAACTCGACCTTCGAAGCAGGAGCGTCTGATGGGGTAGAACCTTCCAAATTGATCAAAAGTTGTTTATTTATTTATTTGTTTATTTCTGACTTTCTGACTTTCTTCCTTCTCTTCTTCTTCTTTCCTTTCCTTACCTCCTTTGCTGTTTTCTTTCTTCGCTTTCCACCTCTCATCTCTCAGACTTCTCAGACTTCTCAAACCAATCCTATATCAAACTTTCCCATTCTACATACCTTTCCGAACCCAAATGTCCCGATGCCAACAACATATCAAACTCCTCTTGCTTTGCCCCATTTCGCAACTTCAAAGGCCATTTCTCAACCAATGTATTCTTGGTTTTTATTCTTAACCCTTCAACTTTACTGATTTCATACAAGGAACAATCCTTCATAAACCTGTCAAAAGGCCTGTCAAGGTCTTGAAACAGAGATCGTGCATCGTTGCATCTCAGAAAGTCTGCGTTGTAAGGTTGAAGCATGTCCCGTTCAATTGGCATGTACCTACGTAATTTTGCTGAATCGGTTGCCATGCTATAAATGTAATCCTTTTCAGTGCGACTTTCGTGGACAGCGTTGAGGAATAAAGCAAGAAGTGTGGCATGCGGATTCTGTGATTTACGCTTCAGGTAAGGAGCGAAAGTCATCAGAAGCTTTCGAGGTCCAATGTAGCCACGGTCTCCAATATTTGAAACCTAAGGATTATCAGCAACCTGTACTGCTTTAACAACTGGTTGAAGAATCACCTCAATTCTGTCGAAGTAATCTTTAGCAATGCCGCGCTCTTTCAAAATACCTGGTAGGTCTACTGCATCAAGTTCAAACAGTTGGAAGCGGATCTTCAAATTCTCAATTCGCTTGCAGAAGCCTTGAAGTTGGTCTTGAAGATAGAAGTAAAGGCTGCCATAGATATCGTCCCGAGCTGATAAAAGCTTAGAATAGTGTGCCTCGAAAGGCCATCCTTGCAATGGGTCGGCAGAATCCATCATAGGCCAGAAATCAGTGCTTTGAAACAACGTCCTGCCATTGAATTAGCAATTATACGTTCAAAAGACTTGGAGCTATGTACGGATTTGGCACGTTGAAATCCTTGCGAGACTGTCCAAAGGGAAGAAGTGTTCCATCAGTGCGGAACTTAGTAACACATACACGCCATGCAGGTGGTCGAGAATAAAATGCTCGCTCGACATAATCTCTTCTCGAGGGTGGCAATGTCGTTTCAACCATTACTTTTTGTGCCTTGCTAGCCGAGAGTCCATCTGGAACTTTGAAAAATGAAGGAAGAAGATCCCAAGAAGCTTTCGGTAATACTAAACATATGGTGCGAGTGCCGAATGTCCAAGTTTTGGATTGCAAAGATTGCCCTGGGCGGCCAGCTACCTTTTTACAAACATCTTCAATCAGCGGGAGAACTTTTTCTTGAAGTTTTTGCAAACTTGACTCGGTTATGAATGCAGAGTACCAGATATGAATCATAATGTCTGCTGCTTCAATGGGGTCGAATACGAGAGCTGTGAGGAGCAATATTGTATTCCGGGCGACAATGTCAAAATCCTTGTCGTTAATTATAAGCTCACATTTGCCTTCATACGCAATTGGAAGTTCGACGAGAGACTTGACAACGTTTCTAATATCCCCAGATGCTGTAACTTTGTCAGTCCGCAATGTTCCCCTGGACTTGACACTTACCCGCAAATAAAAGATTGAGTTGTTCTGGGAAATCTTTTCCTTCGTTCTTACAACTCTGAATTATATCAATGGCAGGAACATTACCCCATAAATACTTCTTTCTTCCGTGTTGCACCATAGTCACCCACTGTTCAGCTAGAGCAGGATCATCGTTGCCTCCAATAAATGCCGGACGTCGTTTCTCCACATCCCACTGTGGTCTCCAAGATTTCTTCATAAATGGGGATTTGCAATCCTTCTTATGGGGTTTCCAATGTGCAACTTGGCAATCTTTGCTGCAATATTGAACTAGAAGGCACCCATTGCAAGCTTTTGAGGCGACGTTGCTACATGGAATCCCTCCACCATCTTCACCTTGATCAACATTAGCGCACGTAACTTTTGGGTGCTTCTTAGAGGAATCAGTCATGATGCTCAGAATTATTGAATTCTTGAATACAAGATGAGACGAAAATTGAGAGACGACTAGAGCCAGCCTCTCTATATCAGCTCAGCCTCCGTTCGTAATTACCCATAGAACAGGGTAATACAAAACAAACGTCCATCACAGGGTATTCATTGGAACCACCTCAACCAAAAATGCGATGTAACATACCGATGGGGATCTGCACTTTACCGTCGCCAATGTAACGGAACAAACACATTACTGCGATCATATGGATGTATAGCCGAAAACACGTTCACATTTCTTGTTTGCTCTCCAGGTTTTTGGTAATTGATTCAGGGCACATTCTCTGGTCAATTTCTTGCATTTTGCGTTCTGGGTAATCATACTACGTTTGAGTCAAATATCATAATTTGTATCCCACATCAAACATAGCGGCAGATAGAGACCAATGCCCCCTCACCCCTTATTCCTCTCTAACAAATTCCAATCAACAAAGCACTGCAGGTCAATAATGAAGTCTTGAGTCTCAATACCTCATATTCTTCTCTTCTTGTTTTAAATCAGAAGAAAAAGTTTCACTTCCCATTTCAATCTTCGCAACCCGTCTCGAGATCGACAATTACCACTTCAACCCTCAGGGCCATCGAGAAGCATTTATCGGTCTTCTCTATGTTAAAACGGTCCAGGCATCATGGGCAAATGTTTCGAAAAAATTCTGTCTTACATAACTTCAAACGCGACTGGTAATGTTTCAACGAATGATGAAAGATAGACCAAAAACCCGGCCGCCAACCGGCCTGGAAAGAAAAACTTTTCCTTCGGACCATGATTTCTTCCGCAAGAAAGATATCATGATTGGGTTGAATTTGGCTATGATATGGTCTCGAGACCTTTTTTGAACCGCCAACAATAACCTTTTGTCGATGCGGGATTTTGCTGGTTATATGTTTGTATGTTTGTGTTGACTTGTTGGTGGTTAATTCTTTCAATTTTTGACGGTTCCTTCAACCCAAATATCCATTTTCTGTGAGTTTACAATCGTCACATTTATACATCAATTTGCGTTGCCATTTCTATGTCATTAGAACACTTACAGAATTAGTTGCTGTAGATTTATGTTCGCATACCTTCAACCTCCTTCTCGACTTCTTACACCATCATTAAAATCACTGTCTCGTCCATTCCATCCATTCCCATCATTATCATCATCACCATCATCACCATCAATCTTTCTCAACCCCTCCCCCATCTCAAACCATGCCCCCAAGACCCAGATACCAAGTCTACAGTCTCTCCACAAGTAGCTCCCTCCTCAGTACCGAACTCATCTTCCTCTTCGATCCCTACGCGAATACCTCTAATCCCTCCTCCCCCAAATATCTCTACCACCAATCTGTCTCCCTTCCCTCCTTCCGCTCCTCTTCCAGCCCCCTCCCCACTCTCATCCAAACCTCCGTCCCCAGAAACCTCGAATACCTCGGCTACATTCGCGGCGAATCCCGCATGGAGAAGGCATGCGCGCTAGCTGAAACCTTGCAGCGAGGTAATGAGCGTCCATTTAAAGCATTCACGAACGATGTTATAAGAATTTGGATTCGAAAGAGGTTGTTACGCTGGAAGCGGGGTCGCAAATTGTGTGAAGCTGACGAGTCGATTCTGGACGAGGAAACTCTTGGGACTAGGGATGGGAAGAGAGGTCTCTCAAGGTACACAAAGGAGATAATTAAGGCGGGAGAGAATGAGAGTGGAGAGCATGGGGATGATGACTCTTCATCTTCATCCTCATCTTCCTATTCACTTGCCTCCTCTTTATCATCTCAACACTCCCTCGGCCGCTCAAACCGTGAATCCCACCGGCGTCTCTCCCGAGCCCGAACAACCCACCATCCTCCCTCGATTACGGACAGCTGGGTCCAAAAATCCTCTTCCAAACCCCCCAAACATTTTTCCGTATCCGTATCCCTTTCCACAAATTCAAATTCCAATCCCCGACATAAATCTTCATCTCCATCTCATTCTCACTCTCGTTCTCACTCTCGTTCTCACTCTCGCTCTCGCTCTCACGCTCCCCCCTCTTCCCACCACGACCAGTACTCTGACTCCGACCACGACTCCGGAATCGGTATGTCCGAAGACGATTTTCACCCTCACGATGACGAAAACGACGATGCACAATCATATATATCAAAATCATCCATCAACCCCGGCTCCTCCATCTCGCATGCCGATCGTGTCTATTCTTCTTCTCACTCCCCTCCACCAAATTCCTCCAAACACGCCCATTCCAAAGAAGATGTCTCACCTCCTATCTCCGACCTCAAGTACCAGCTCGGACAAGAAGAGGCTATCCGTCGTAGCATCTTTAAAGCTAAGAAAGCTGAGTGTATGAATTCTTCTTCTTTTTCTTCTTATTCTTCTTCTCATCACCCCCCTTCTCCTCCTTCTTCTTCTTCTTCAGGCTCAGGTTCAGGTTCACGCTCACAATCCCGATCACGAGCACATTCACAATCACGAAGAAGTCAAACCCCCACCCAAACATCCCACATACCGCGTTCTAATAACCCGTTTCGACTTTCAGTTGCGGGGGAGGCGAAGCCCGATCCGTGGGTTGGGCGATGAGATTAATTTTTGGGGTGGTAGGATACAAGAGGATAGTATGGGTAAGATAGAATGGGTATCAATAAATCTTTGTTGATTTTCATGGACGAGGAGAGGTAGGTTGTTCTGGTAGCTTATCCGGTTATGGTATCAAAGGAGAAGAATATCATTCCTATCTCCTAGCATTTGAATAATTCTATTAAATGGTATATTACATTACATTATTAACAACATAGTTTAATATTAGCAAAAAGCGATCCTCTCCATCTCGTGACGTACTGTATCATACAATATCATAACATAGCATAACCCCATTCTCAACTCCACCTCACGTAGGTATCATCTCGCCGGATTTCAAGCCCAGCCTCACAAACCATCCATATTCCATGAACTCAAACCCTTATAACTTTCCTCCCCTTCCTCATAACCCCCTACAGCCACCCATGAAACTCTGGTTTTCCCCCTTGTATCCTCCACTGCTCTCCCTTCCAAATCAATGCCCCGACTGGTCCAAAAAACACAAACAACACAACTGCGAATGTAAACCAAGCCCATGTAAATCCTACTTTATCTGCAAATGGCAACGCGAAATATCCGACTACGAATGAGAGGCCGCGGGAGAGATTGAAGAGAACCCCTGTTTCGGGAGTTTGGGGCTTGTAGCAGTCGGAGACGTAGGCATAGAGGGTTGTGGAAGCGATTTGAAGACCGAAGACACCTGAGGAGGAATGTTAGTGAGGGTTAGGTAAAGGAAGAAGTGGGGTTGAAGTAAGAGAATAAGGTTTGAAAAGAAGGTTTGAAGTGGGTTTTCATGGGGAAGGATAGCGAAGTGGGGTTCAGACGAAGAGAGCTGTCGAGGGAATAAGAAGGAAAATAAAGGCAAGTAAACCGTAAACATACCAAGTGCCAGTCCAATAAGCGGAATAATGAAATGAGTCTTCCCCACTGTAGCTCCAAAGACAATCAATCCCATGGGCATGAATACCGCCGATAAACAACAGAGATAAAGTCTATATTCCGGTTTCCTTACGTCTCCGTTTTTCTTCGCCATACGGTACATGACACAATCACTTGCTTTTCCGGCGCTAAATTCTCCCAATAAACTACCAATCATGAGTGAGACTCCCAGACAGGCACCGATTGGACCAGACTCCAGGTCATAGAATTCGGTGTAGATGGCGGCGATAGAGATGGCAGGCATGACATTGATGAAAGTCCATCCCCACGTGTAGTACCAGAATGGAAAGAGAATGGAAGGGTAGCGAAGCATGTAAAAAGATTCTAAGAAGTGGGAAAATTGGAGTGAGCGATTAGGGAGACAATTCCCGCGAAAGTCAAAAAGAAGTTCATAGTACGTGCGGGTTTTGGTACGTGTGGAGAGGTAAGATGGGTCGCGAGAGAACAGAGTTTCGGGGAAAAGAAATATGGCGAGAAAGAGAGAAACGCAGGTGCTGATAGCTCCAATCCAGTAGTCCCATTGCCAGCCTAGGGATGACCCAAGGAAACCGCCAACTAAATTGATTATGTTAGCTGGTTTTTCGAGGAAAGCGTAGAACTCAAGGTGACTTGACTCACTGATCGCAGCCACATGAGCACCGTTTGTAACAAAGAGGGAGTATACGCCAGTAGCTTCACCTCTCTGATGAAGAAAAAACATATCATTTACACAAGCAGTACCCACCGACATCATTCCACCGAACCCAAAGCCACAAAGAGCACGTGTACCCACAAGTTGTGAAAAAGTGTTTGAACGAGCCGATGTTACTCCTCCAACAATAGTCAAAACTATTGCAAATAAGGTGATAGGTCTACGACCATAGATATTCGCCAAAGGCGCATAAATGAATGGTGAAACACCACCCATGATAATTGCCGTAGTTGTGCTGTACGAAGCCACTTTTGGACTAACATCAAGCGCATCACTCAGGAGAACCAGACTTGGATTAACGAGTGCGGCATTGTAAGGTCCTAGGAATGCCATGTAGCCAACTTGAATCAGGACAGCCCATTTGAGCCATGTTGGCCAATTCTAGTAGATCATCAACTTTGTACTTTTTTGTCGAACGGATGAAATCTAGATGAAATATGGATGAGATGAAGGGATGTATTTGGAATCTTGAGATATCCCGGCAATATCGGGTCTTGATTGGAAATTTACAACATACCAATGGATCGTCTTTAAAGCGACTGGGCTGGGGTACTAGTGGTAATCCATGTTGATCAAGCTGGATTCCTGGGGTTGGAGATGTCGAATTAGATTCCTCCAAACACAGGGCAGATTTTTGATGAGAGTCAAATTGGTCAATATTTGGTTGACTTGATGACATGTTTGAATTTTTGATGCGAAGACAAGAACTGCCGACGTTTATCCTTGATCACGAAAAGATTGTTGGTTGGCTAGAAGGGTGTAGGTAGTTTTGAGTGGTGTGAAAGTTTTGAAAGATTTCGAGGACCAATTCCGAACTACATGCTCATGTTGACACTGTTGTACTGTGAAAAGGAAGGACATTAGCTGCCTTGCTTGTACAGGTGTATGTGAGTATATAAAGAAGAAGATATGTTTGTGTATTTTCTGAAGATATTGTATAAAGGAATCGTTCCAAGTATTATATCTCCTACTATAGATTTATAATGAGCGTATGGAAATACAGCAAATGAGCATAAACCTTGCGGAGGTACCAAGAGATATGTTGTCTTCCGACGACCTTATAGATGGCAATGGAATGACCGACGTAGTGTACTCCGTACAGCAAGAAAGCAAAAAGACGGTACAACATACCTCTTTCTAAACGATCCGATCCGAAAAGAGGACCCGAGAGAATGGTGAAGTGAGACTAATGAGGCACGGGGATGTGTATGAACAACGGTAAGTATGATGAATGTATGTTACAATAGTTTGACAGGGCAGGCAGGACAAGGGTAGAAGAAACAAGGGATTGAGTAATCAATTGGGATTAGTTTATAGTTTAGATATGTACGGAGCATGTACTCTGTATGTGTATCTGTACTCCGTATGTATGTAAAGATTAAAATGTTCTCGATCGATGGATGAGATGAGATAATTGAAAAAGTGGATTGATAGATAGATTGACTCAATAACCTTATGAATTGAACCAACGGTTTTTGATACAGGAATACAGCGTGAGAAGTAGAATGACCGAGTAAAATCAATTGTTCGATATGGGATATATTGTAGGTAAGAAATAGTGACGGCAATCGTTCAAAGAGGAAGAAGAAGTAGACGAAGGAGAAGAAGAAGGGTAGGAGAAGGATACTAAACCCGTAATATGTCTTTCTTTTTAACTTGAATGGAGGAACGATGTGATGATGGACATACCCAAGCAGATATTATTATATCAACACATCTAGGGCTTTTCTCTCTTTTCTTTTTCGTTTTCGTTTTCTTCTTCTTCTTCTTCTTCTCCTTCTTCTCCTTCTTCTCCTTCTTCTCCTTCTTCTCCTTCTTCTTCTTCTTCTTCTTCTCCTTCTTCTTCTTCTTCTTCTTCTTCTTCTCCTCCTCCTTCTTCTTCTTCTTCTTCTCCTCCTCCTTCTTCTTTTATACCTAGTTGGCGGAGTGCCAATCTCAGCTAATAAGTTTTGTATTGGATGCGAAAAAGCTTGTTAGATAGGGAAGACAGAAAGAAGAAGGGGGAAGGCGTTTATGGGACCCATAAGGAGCTCTGATTCGGTCGCTAATAAAATATCTTACGCACTCTCTGTGGATCAAAAATGGAGAAAGAGTACAAAATACCGGGTATGATGGTACAAAAGTGTTGAATGTGCGAGTGTGCCAAGAGATGGTGGATTGTACAAGTAAGGGCAACTTGCCTACAGCTGATAAAAGCAGCGACTTGGACTAGATAAAGACTTCGGGTGATTGAATTGTGTGATTTTGGATCATTTCCGATAGCTACAGGTCCTTGGGAATGAGGTCTGTTGGCTGATTGATCATGGTCAATGGTCAATGGTCAATGGTCAATGGTCAATGGTCAATGGTCAACGGTCAACGGATAATGGATGGATAAGAGTGAATGGCATGTTACATTTTCATTGAGATTCCTCGAATCAAAGAATCAATTCAATTCGGAGAGGACTGATATCCAATGAATCGTGAGAATAGCAAGCAAACAAACAATACTGAATCATGCCGAGGTACCTAGTTATTTAACGATGGATCTAAGAATGGTTCACTCACTCACTCGATGCACCAACACTTTCTCGGGTAGATCTCCTTATTTTTATATCTACTATTCATACCTAAGTACTCGAGGTGGCCAATGGTCATAGGCTTTACCTGAACATGTGATGGGTGACTTGTGGGAGATGGGTTCCCCTCAATCTACGATAAACAAATCATGTATTAGATTTGCTTTTTCAAAGACTTCCATCTCGTCAAGAACTACCAAGTTGAGATGGATGACATCTGCTAAGTACTTATTAGATGCTAAGGATCGACTATGATGAGCAGCTGGGGGGGGGGGGCGAGGAGGAGATGCATTTGGTGTAAGTACTGGTAGCTTAAGATCTACCGATTAAATGTCTGCCGAGCAAACTTCCAACTTTACCCATCTGTCTGCAGTAATTACACAGTATACTTTCATACTAAGGTAATGTTCCGATTAGGTCATTTTCGGGGGTTGATCAAGTACTAAGGAAGGAGGTCTGACAAGTTACAAACAAGTTACAGTGCAAGCAGGTCCAAGTGCAAGTCCAAGCCCAAGTCCAACATGATAATATCATATCGTTAGTATCTGGAAATAAGAGAAAGACCTAAGTTACCGGTACTACCAACTACGATATACGTACGTACTACTTAGGTACCCTTGGTACATATCCAAATTCAAGGGTACCGGTATCAATACGAATAGAGAGTGCTGCATACTACTAGGGACCTACCTATCTATACCTACCTACACACGCTACATCTACTGGTAAATCATTAACTCTATTTATCACATTCTTCCTTCTCTCACGCGACGGACGGTTGATTTGGTCCATACGGAGTCTCTGTACATCTAGAGAGTAATCTTACCTACTCCGTACCTACTAGGACTTATTCTATCTATCTTCCCACGTATTCAAACTCGTAACATGCAATAAATCCTTGTTAGAGTAAATGAATCTTTATCTAGGTAGGAAGGATATATATGTATGTCTCTCTCTACACACCAGTACTTTTTCCATGTTTATTCTGTACATGGCATGACCACCCATTGGCACCGACCCAAAACCATTGAGGAAAAACGAAGAGGCTAACGAAAAAAAAAGTTGATAAGTCAGCATCAGCATTAGCATCAGCATTAACATCAGCACCAATATCGACTTCTCTCCCCTCTTCCCACTACCTACCTACCTACCTACCTACCTATGATGAACCTACTAGGTATCTCTCTTATCCTTGATTATTGCATCGTCCTCTCCTAATTACCATAACACTATCTCCTTGTCCCTAACTAGTACCCAAGTCACCTAACCCACTACTCAAATCTAAACTCCTCATACTTCTTCCTCCTTATACTAGATATCGATTCCATATTGTATCGTTCCCCGTTTACATTGGATTCCACATCACACGAGATCCAAGATCATTCACTCAGTCCATCGCGTTCAGACACCACCTAGCACCTAGTACTAGCACGTACTAGTACACTAATTGCACTTCATCCGAGTGATTGTATTGTTCCTGTCTAGCCATACAATCATAACGAAATGAATTGACACATCTTCATTCCTGTACTCAAGACCTTCATCCATAAACCTCCATGATTCTTCATAATCCTTCATAATCATAACTGTCGCAAATCATTGATAACCATATCAAAATCTATACGACTCTCTATCTCTTGACATCCCGGATTTTGCGGGACTAGATCTCACTCTTCCCCCTCCCCTCTCTGCGCATAGAATATGGACCGACCCAAAAAGAGAAAGCCTGGCAAGGTCCGTGTTGCGGATCACCTGCGAAAAAGAACTCTGGTTTCTTGCGATCGTTGCAAACAGCGTAGAGTGCGTTGTGCGCGAACAGGAGAGGATCCCTGCCAGAATTGTGTGGAAGCCAGTGTACAATGTAAATGCACCTTACCCCGGAAGACTCGAATTTATGGAAGTGTCGAAACGCTTAGTATGCGATATCGCGTTCTGGATGCGGTGGTCAAAGGAATCTTCCCCAACAAGGATACAAGTGATATCGACGTTCTATACGAGATTGCTGCAGAGCATAAAATAACGTTGCCTGACTTCACGGGAGACAACCTTACTACAGGCGATACACGCATGGAGGAAATTTTTGCACGGGTCCCAAAGGAATTGTCGTCATCACCAGCTTATTCCGAGGGAAGCCAACGAACCTTGAAAGAAGAGTCAACGCCAACAGAGAAATCCGTAACCTTGCCCAGTTCGCCACAGGAAACACTTGTTCCCACACCTTCAGGGGGACAATCCCATTTTATTGGACCTTCTTCAAGTTTTGGATTTGCGCTCAATCTTCGTGCGCTGGTTGGATCATATGCTCAAGTTCTTGAACCGAACAATCCAAGTATGAAGTTGATGATAAATTTCGCGACATCAAAATGGAGCAAAGGTTTAGAGCCAAAAGCGGCTGAAGAAAAACATACCGCCCCTGGACCAGCAGACCTCGAACGAGATTCTCAAGTATCTAGAAGCCGTCACGTGCTTCCACTTGTTCCAGGCAAAGATCCATCAGAAAAGGAGCCTCTGTCTTCACTTCTGCCTGCTCGAGAAATCGCAGATGCCTTAGTTCGGTCATTCTTTGACCACGTTCACCCAGATTTTATGCTTTTTAGACGTCGCTCTTTTGAACAGCGCTACGAGAGCACGTGGAGCCAACTTGGTAATCAAGTACAAGATCTCGAACCCGGATGGCTATGTTCTGTTCTCATGGTTCTGGTACTTGGAGCTCAAATTATCGAGCCACAGGATGATTTGTACCTGCAAATGATTCACAATTATAAAGTATGGGTACAGTCGCGAGTGTCCCAACTTCAATATACCAGTACACTAGTCAATATTCAAGCTCTACTCCTTTTGCATATGTATTTACATAACATGTCCGAACGTAATGCAGCTTGGACGATGCTAGGTGCAGTTTTAAGAATGGCCATGACTCTTGGAATGCACCGAGAAGGAGGTAACAAAAATCTCGATCCAGGCGAAATAGAGGTTCGACGCCGTGTGTGGTGGACAATTTACGTACTAGAACAGAATTCATGTACAATACTGGGCAGACCTTCTTCTATCGACGATATGGAAGTCACCATTAAATATCCCAACGAAGATCTGCTTGATGGCAGTGCACATGTACCTATGGCATACATCGAGGAGTTGTGTCGTTTGACGCGGATAATGGCACGTACCAGCAAGATGATGTATCCCTCTAACGTCATTCTATCCCCAGGCGATGAGAAACACAGGATGGAGTGGGCCGATAAATTACTCTCGGAGTTGCATGATTGGCGCGACCGCTTACCACAACACCTTCGCCTCGGACTTCCAGGTAATTCACGTGCCCACTCGCGTGCGATTTATCTACTTCATCTTCAGTTCCATCTTGTACAGTCACTTGTTACTCGACCTTACGCGGTACGGAAAGCGATGCTGCAGGTAGCGCGGAAAAAAGGGAAACATGTTCGCGCTAACCATCTCGATGAACAAGAACACATATTGAGTTACAAATGTGGCCTTGCATCGAAAGAAGCTCTTAAACTCATCCATCAACTTATCACCTTGAACCAATTCAATGGTGTAACCTGGATCGATCCTTACTATGTATATCACAGCGTGGCCGTTATCGCGTTGGAGTTCCTAGCGAAAGATGAGCCAGACAATGACGAAGACATCTCTCGCAGGAAGGCAGTCGTTGATATAAGGAACGCGATGGACAACATTCGTCTTTGTCCAGTATTCGCTATGCTCACACAGGTATCTTTTCAATTTGCTCAAATTGTCGGTATAATCGATAACCATGTAACTACCGCACAATCTCAACACTACGACGCCATGCAGATGCAGTCTCATGTTCAAGCAATCCCTGATATCGACATTGAATTCGAAAATCCTCAGCAGAGCAATATTGACAACGTCTTTGATTTAATTCTAGGGAATAACTTCAGTATTCCTTGGAAAGTTGGACCGGATGCCTTTACTCATAATCCACAAGTCTCAGCCCCGATGATAGAGTCGTACATGGATCGTAGCGTGCCGGCTATGGATGAACAAATTGCCGCCACAGCGATGCAGGGAATGCAATCACAGCAGCCATATGTAAGTTGGCCCGCGGGTGGATACGGAGTGATACCTACACATGCGCAGTATGGAAATACATCGGCAACTCCATCGCATATTAATAGCAATGGCAACGGCAATGGCAACGGTCAATCGCATGCCCAATATTCAAATTCAACAGCAGCCCCGTCGCAGTTCCCAGTAGTAGCCCCAATCCGTGTCAATGGTAATGGCAACGGCAATGACCTCTCTCATGCGCCATACGCGAATCAGCCAAATCCGTCACACCTTCACAGTAACGGTAACGGCCATTCTCTTGCGCAGTATTCGAACTCCCATCCTGGTTACGAGCATCGGAGGAACTGATCACTTTTAACGCATTGTGTGTACATTGGTATCAAGGTATTAAAAATGGGTGCACGCGTGGGAAAAGCAGGAGTAATGAGCTAAAGGGTGAGGAGATTTTTAACCATGTATAATTTGTCTGATCTTGTGGGGTTTTGGAGTCTGGAGCCACTGGCAAGGAGTTTGAAAACCGGACTGCAAATTTGGAACTTTGGGGTTAGGAGTAAGGATGATTGTTCATTGTGCAATAATTTGGTGAATGGCATGGGACGGAATATAGAATTTCTGGAAGAGAAAAGTAGGGGGACATCGGTACAATCATGCATGATGCTAGATGAATGAATAGATGATTAAATCTGTTGGGGTGGGAAATTGAAATGGGAATGGAGATTGGGAAAGTTTGACCCTTCGATTTCATACGTGTGTATGTAGATACAAGTCCATGTAGAAGTCAATAGATAATGTTTGGTTTTTTGTATATTCCGATTTCGTGTAGCTTATTGTAGTGGTATTTCATGTGATTTACTTTCTTCGATATTCCCCTGCTCCTTGCTCCCTTGTATGGATATGTACGAACAAGTATGCTTCTTAACCATCAGCCAAACAAAATCAACAATAAATATATGAATATCGAAAATGGAGTTAAGTATAACCTTGGACTTTCTTCCCGGTAGAGGAAGAGAGAGTGAAAGGGCGTTTCCTCTTTTCCTTTCTCCTCTCCCCTTCACCCCCCTCCATCTCACATCGCGAGAAGTATCAACTCTCAAGTACTGTAGTAATTAATACCCAACCAATATACCTATTTAAGAAGAGGATAAATGAAAGCTTGACCACAATCTGATTTAGAAGAGTTAGGAGGTTGTGTAGGTATCCTAAGATCACATATCTTTCAAAGCGTAATTAATATGACATATGAAATTATGTATGGATTCTCTGGGTATGCGTCTATCTATACGTGATGAGATCCATTCCACGAAATGTGTAAAAAGTAATGATGCACTAAAAGTACAAGTATAAATACAAATTCCTCCACAATTCAAATGTCGCCCACTCCCCCTTTCCCGTCTAACAGGTTATCCACCGAGCTAGCACACGCATTGCCCAGTCTCCCTTGCCCCCTTCTTCACGAACACCTCCTTTCCCCTCCCTCATCACAATTTTTCCAACTCTCTTTCCAACCACTCCACCACCGCCGCATACCCACTCTGCCTCTTCCTCATTACCTCCAGAAAAGCGCCCAAACCCCACCTCCTCATTTCCCTTTGTGAAACCTCGCATTTATAACCTGCATAATGATCTTTGTTGCTACTTTCCTCCTCATTCGTATCCTTATCCAAATCTCCCCCTTTCCCTCCAACCTTACTACTGCCCTTCTTTCCCCGTCTACTCAAACACCAACCCAATCTAACTAAATCCTCTACTGTCTTAATCACCAATGCACTTTTTGGTTTTTTGGCAACAGGTAAACATTTTATATATGCCATCATTTTCGTTGCACTTTCAATGTAAGAGGTGTAGATATTTTTTCGGACCGTAGAGAGGGAATTGTGAGAAGTGTCGAGGTACATGGGATGGGTTTGCAGGGTGAGGGAATCTATGGGTGTGTTAGTTTTGTATTTGAAGTTTCAAATGAAAGTGGAGAGCGAAAACTAGCGCGGGGAAGCAGGGTGCGAAATGAAGGCTGCATGCAAGATAGGTATTGGAGAAAAAAATGGATAGCATTTAAGAACATCCAGAGTTTCATCGAGATTCTTTTCCGGAGTGCAAAAAAACGCAAAAGTAAAAACATACAACAGTGGGGATTCGCTGGTGGTCACCCACCCAACTACTAATCCACCGATCTGAAGCTTGTGTATGGCAGAGCGGACGGGATGCCCAATTCTCTTCAGTCTATGGTCGTATGTGGCAGGTTCCGCTTCGTTCGAGCTTATATCCCCATGCGTTGCGACGTTGTGGTTTCGTGAAAAATGAGATTAGAAAATGATACTTACTGAGAACTTTCCGATGGAATGTCTTCCCCGGAATTCTTGAATATTCGACTGTGAGCGAATCTTGTATTACTTCTCAACGATTAGTATCAAGGTCCATGATAGTGATATGTTTAACGAGAAGCTAGAACGAATCAAAACAAACTCACCCAAATCTTTCCTCCTATCCCTATCCCTTGCAATATTCAAAGTCTTCATATCCACCAAATTACCACAATAAGGAAACTTTTTCTCGCCCACCACCCTCTTTATTTTCTTACCATTAATCATCACCTCAAAATTGGTAAGTGTCTTGTCCGGGTTCACACCCACTCCGTACTCTGATATCCCATCATGCATGATTTTCAAGAAGCGTTTCGCATGTGCGGGATTGAGTGTTATAAGTAAGAAATCATCAATCAATCTCAGCAGCAGACTTTCCCCAGATTGTAGAAATGATAGATGCTTGGCTTCGAGATCCGCATAGAAGTAATTACAAAGTAAAGAGGAAAGGACCGAACCTTGTGGAATTCCTTCTTTTTGACGGTAGAATTTCTTGCCAATCTTAACCATGTTTTGGGAAATGTGTTGAGTCAGAATTTGGAGAAGAGAGTCAGTATCACGGATTTGGTTGACAATATTTTCAACAAAAACAGTGTTCTTCTTGCCAATGGCTATATCGTTTTCGAGATCCTCATCGAAATTGTCGAGATGATGAAGGGATTTGGCGTGTGATTTCCATCTTCTAATGGGCTTATTTGGTGCATTAGGGTCGGTGGCATAGGCTTCTGTAGGTCGGATCTCAACATGTCTCGCGAACCTGTACTCTGATTCGGAAGGAATGGTGGTCATGAGCTTGATGACTGCAGCTTGAGGAATGGTGTCGAATGCAGCCTGGACATCAACTTTGGAAAAGTAGAGAGGTTTTGTTGGTGAGTTAAGAGATGCTTTGAAGGATTTGACCTTTTGATATAAATCGCCGACAGAGAAAAGAGTTGATCCAAGGCGACCTATATTGCTTGCCTACAGATGTTAGGTTTTGCAAGAAAGAAACGACTGTAAATGACGCTTACCTTCTCGTGGGTGAGTACATTGTGAACAGGTGCTAACACACTATTGATACTGGCACCTAGCAGACGCTTATCACCTTTCCGCATGGCTCTTCTCCTTAGATTCATAATTGGTCGCACGCCAGTCTCCTTAGGTATCAGACGCATCTGACTAAAGCCTAAGGCTCGCGAACCAAGTATCTGCTGAGCCTCTCCCAGTTTTACTTCCTCGAACATTTTCAACTTCAATGAAGCCAGAGCAGGCTCAGCCACAGATTTCCAGACATCATGACGAAAGAAGAAGAGTCGCTGACGATGAATATTCGACTCAGTGACATGAAAGTTTGAACGAACCAATGGGATAAGAACTGAATCAAATAAATAGTATACAAATTCAAGGAATATCTCACGTCGTTTATTGAAATCAGTTAGTGACAATTTTTGGTTCGAGGTATTTGGTGCTCCCAACCATTCAATCTCGGCAATCTATTGAACATCAACAAAATGACATGCGATCATGACAGAAAATTTACCTTGAATCCCTGAGTAACTTCGTGAAGTGATAAACCCTCAAATCGTCTCAGTCTAATAAAGTTATCCACATTCTTTTGGAAGATGCCCTCGTTATGTACCTGCACATCTCCAGTGCCCCAGAATTCGCGTGGTACGATATTTCGAAGCACGGCATGACAGAAAGCAGATACATCAGCACCAGAACTTGCATGGTCCATCAAAGTTGATTTTCGGGCGGGAATTGAGGGGGCGCTCGATAAAAATGTGTTGGAGACTCGGCTTTTTCTAGAACAATGGCTTTCGAATGACGTCGAATTAGAAGAACACTTTGCTTTCATGTCCTCTACGCTGCGATCTTGATTCCTCCGATTCTACAAGTGTTAGTAGAAGATGCAGAAGTTCAATTTGGAGACTGACCGGGCAATAATATTCTAACAAGCTATTGTATGAGCACCTGGAGTGCAGGATCTGGAACTTTTTGACCAGATCCCTGGCTTTTCCGCGAAGTCTTTTCGGGATTTTGATGGCCTTTGCGTCAGGATATATGGAATCAATTTCATCTTCACGTAAAGTGTAATCCTTGAATGGCTGAACAGTTTCTCGATTGTCAACTTCTGAAGTAAAGACATTGTGAAGGCCGAATTGCATGGGGAATATGTACATTAGAATTTGGGTGATATTTTCCTCAGGTCGTCGACGACTAAGCATGGCACCACTTCCATCACTGACTTGACATGGAAACCTGTTCAAAACATCTGCTCAGAACAATCAATCAATATGAATCCAAGCCACTAACCCAAGGGTAACCTACGTATGTGCCTTAAACCAAATTGAACCTCGCCCTTTGCATTCAAAGCAGCTTTTGCGTAAAGCATTCGATTTCTTACAAAATTGATTTCAGCTGGATTATGCAAGACAGCTCGTTGCTGGCTTTTTCTTGAAGGGCTGTCTGTCTCAGATAATTTTCCATGGATTTTGTCCGTTGTGACAGGTGAGAGTTCACTTAAAGGCTGACCTGTTTGTAGTCGTCAGTCAAGATTGAACAAATCGGACACAATTTGAACCCACCACTGAGTTGGTAATAGCTACCATGTGCATTCTCTATTTGAACAAAAACACCACAATCAAGAATCAAATCACACATGACACGTTCTCCAGCTTTGCCTAGCAGAGTAAGAACATGAGGCCATGGCCAGGCTTTCATAGCTGTCACATGACTATTGGGATACATTGAATTGATTCCTGGAATAGAAGTCCTAAAGTTTTCATCCCTATTAACAGAATGAGAACTGATATCTTTACGATATCCTTGACAAAGTAAGTGTTGCAGTCTTCCATTTGATGATTTCGATTTTGAAAATAGTAACCAAATAACAAAATCAACAATCTGTTGAGATGTTAGTAGTCCGAGACAAGAACATTCCGGAAGAAAGATCGTTGAGAAACACCCACCTCTGATTGAGAGTAAACATCATTACCACTTGAATTTGCAATGGTTGATACAGAAATGTCTCCTTTCTGTGAGAAAGAAACCCACTCTTTCAACCTATTTTCTTGAGAAAGTTCATGATTCAATGACACACCTATCAATGTGCGATCAAGAAAGTCACCTAACAAATGATCTTCATCTTCCTCCTCATGATCATCTCCTTGATCTCTAATGTTTGTTGAAAGCTTGTGGCCCGCTGACAACAACTTCTTTCTCCTAACCTTGGAGGATACTGGAAGCTTTGATAGTAAATAATCACGAAGACATAAGACGCTGGGGTAGTATTTGGCCAGTAAAGTTTGCTTTACCGGAGGATCCTTTCTGTGGGTATCTCTACAGGGCTTCTGGCGTTTATTGAGATCTGTAAGGCCAGTGCCATTATCAGCATCAGTTCCTGTGACAGCATGACTTCTCTTTCTCTTTCTAGCCATGTTTAAGCAATTGCTTTTGTTGATTCTTGATTTTTGGTAAAGCACACTAGGTAGTATTTCCTGAATGGATTGTCTTAGCGTTGGGCTGTCTGTGATGGACAATGATGACCCAGATGATGACCCATAGGCGTGATGTCGATCTTCAAGCAAGCAAGATCGATATAGCAACCTTGGAAGACTCCTAGTTCTGTGCAGCCTTGTCAAAGTTACGAGGCTGTAGATCAGATTGCATTATTGACTTTTGAAAATCAAAAGTCAATAATAGAGTATTCCTCCCTTCCCTTAACAACGAATACGAGAACACAACATACGATTGAAGTTTCAAATTATAAATAGGTGTATGAAGTAAGGGGTATCGATGGTTGTGAAATAGTAAGGAGTTGTTTCAATTATATTGAGCAAGACAAAGTCGGAACAGAGAAAAGGAAAAAGGAAAAGAAAGTCCGCAAGCACGGCCTTTAACAAATATCTACTAGGTAGGTATTTAGCCATCTATCATTGGTTGAATGTTGATATTGAATCTAGAATTGAGGATATCGATAACCGATAAGACTTTGATGTGATATTGATAGGAAAACAGCCTCGAGCCAGTAACACAAGAGAACAAGAAACATGGAAAGGACATCAAGTGGAAGATGAAATTGAAGTGCCTGATTGGATTTTATACACAAGCCTTTGCTTTTTTGACTGTAGATAGGTAGGCCCCAGGTGGCTGTTGAACAAGGGATAATGATCAATGAATGAATGAATGATACCTATTGATTCAGGCTCGGCTACTGCTGGCTTAGGAGTAAGACTTTACCATGTCAAATCCAAGATGAAGCAAACCTTCCAGGGTCATTGACAGTCAGATTCTTTCTTTAGGTGTTTGTTTACCTGGTTTGCCTACCTAGACAGCTAGATGCTATTTTAGAGTCAGGCTTGACTGATTGTCAAACTTGACTTTGGAGCACAAGAGACCTGTGAACTCCTAGTCACCGAGTCAGAGACCTGTAGTCAATATCAATATTGACATTTGCTTTTTCTTTCGGTGTCAAGGTTTGAGGCGATAATGTTATGGATTCCAAGGGTATTCAATATAGATAGAGTGGCTGAAGGAAACAGGCCATTTGCTTCTTCATCCAGTGTCTAATCGAGTAGCATGAATGGCAAAGCATTCAATCTAAAACCTTCACTCTTCACTCACATTGTTTGTCACAAGTATTAGATATAAATTATGGTTGTGCGTACGGTAAAATTGGAATGCAAGTACAGGCCAAAAGTCGAAGGTGTACAAGCAGTAGCAGCCAATACCAGACAGTATATATAGTGCCAGGAATCTCTGGAAGGGAAACACGAAACAAACGGCAGCGGCAGAATGGTACCTTATGAGATACCCAGTAGTGATGAAAGTTGAAACTGTACAAAAAACTTTCCTTGACTCGGTGAAATTCATTATCCTTGAGCCTTTCCACCTGTCCCATGAAGTAAATTCTTCCGAACCTGGTATGAGTTGACCATATTTGACCGAAATTGCCTCAATGGCTGATATGTATGATGATTTCGATTTGATTGTCTTGTCACTGTCATTTGCTGAAGATATACACAATACACTACACTACACCACACTACATTATATTACTTTACCAATACTATGCTTTTGTACCTTTTCATATCATCGGGTAGAAATACTTATTACCTACCTACCTAGTAGATCACTTCAAAGTTATCATACATACTAGGTAGTAGTAACCTTTTCGTCATTTATTGCACAACCGCTCGCACTTAATTCTTCTGTCTCTCTCTCTCTCTCTCTCTCTCACACACACACCCTCTCACCCTTTCACCCTCTTAAAACTCGAACAGCAACAGCTTTCCAGACTTTGTGGAGAAAAATCATTAAAGCTGTCTAACCCCCAACTACTACCGGTAAACCTCTAACCCATAATAATTGATTGCACTCTATTCAATTGCATCCAATTGCATAACAAAACCACGCTACCTTTTACCGTCTCTAACTCTCTCTCCCGCATTATACTGAAAGCATAACCAACTCTTGTCCTATGATTCTTCCGTCCAACCTACTGCCACATACATTCAATTTTCTCCCTCGTGCGCCCAGAGCTCAAGGATAAGGTTTGTTGCTCAAATCAAATCCATCGAATCAGCTACAAGTATTCCAAGGGCCATTCAACTTCTGCCACAATTGTATGGATCATCAATAAACAATCACAGCATCACCCATCGCTCACAATTAGAGCACGAGCTTCAACAGATGTTGAGGCACAATGGAGGATGGATTTCAAGATGACCAGAATTTTTATTCTAGGTCTTTTCCCCAGTCAGAAGCTCATTCCCCAGCGCAATCCGAATCTCGTTCCCAGTACTCGTCGGATTTGACTTCACAACACCGGCAAATACCTTCTTCTACCACTTGCGAATCTCCTCACTTTTCCCAAAGATTTGACTTCGATCCGGCACCCCTTCATCCTCCTAAACTCCCTCTTCTTACGACCTCGAATCTACAATTACAAACTACCAACACGAATGGTTACATGAATACTTCTGATGATGGTGGTGAACCAGATGACTTCTACAGAGACTATCAACCTCCTCAACAGACAGACGGCCCGCCAGATCAATTATTAGATATGATTGCTGCAACATCAGATGTAAGACCGGCTTCCTCCACAATGCGACCGAGTAATACCAGCAGTCCACCGAATCAAACTCCTTCTACCCCAAGAACTACAACGCGACCACCCTTCGGCTCAAATCTATCGCATACTGAAAGCAATCAAAAGCAATCAACCAGACCACTAGTCAATGGATATGGAAAAGCATCACAAAAACCAAGCGTGAAAGATCTCTTGAAGCGCTTTGATCAGAACAATGATCAGTCCCTTCCCATGCCGCGAAAATCAGTGGTACGAACAAAAGATAGTGCTGGGATTAGTTCCGGATATATGAGAGATCGATCGAATCCATACACTGCCCGCGTGGCTAGTAACCCAGGACCTATAACTACGAGTTCGTCATTAAGGGCAAGTAATACTACGAGGGAGCCGGGACCGACCAGAATTAAATCGCCTTCATCCAGTACCAGAGCAATGCAACGACCGAGATTTGCGACGGAGGACCGACATTCAAGTAATACTTCCTTGGGTTCCGCCCGCAGCATGCGTACGAGGAATACACCAAGTACCAAAGCCAGTTCAACCTCGAAGTCAATGAACAATCTTTCGCCATCATCTCAACCACCACCCGCGGTGCCGGAGAAGCGTCCTCTGTTTGGAGAGATTTCATCTTTAGGTCAAGGTACATTTGAAGCTGGTTACGGTATACCAACGGCTACGAGAAGGACATCTGAATCAGGGCTACCTTCGGCCATCTCCACTGAGCAGCGTAGGCGCACGGATGCCGATATATCTCCAACTTCGCCAACAGCCTGGTATTTGGGAGTAACGCCGTCGCTCGGTGACGTAGAACCAAACATGCCGCGAAGATCAGGTCACAACCGTGCCCACAGTGACTTTGCAGACACCAAGGTAAATACTATGCATAATGTCAACCGCTCTTCTTTTCTATCACCAGAATCCCCAGTAAATACCAAGGATCCAGGTCCAAACACTGCGCTGGATTCTTCTCATGTAGAAGCTGAGGGTGCATCCGAACTTCAGCCAGCAAAGCTGTCATCTCGACTTCCTGTTGCACTCAAACGCTCGAGTACTCAATCAGATAGATCAAGTTCCCCATCAACGCGTGCTAGTTCCCCCCTGACTGGCAAACGCCCGCTCCATGGAAAGCTTCCCCGAGAACATCGGCCATGGAGTCCTGCGGGACGCTCAATGACATCAGCAACTCGTTCTGTACCTCCTAACAGCCGTGCCAAGACACGTAGCCCAGACAAAGTCTCTAGCAATGGTAGCTTGAAAGCTTATATTTCCGCACCGCCCGCGAAAAACTCCCCGCCTTTACGAAGTTCACGTCCTCGGCAACCTGTTTCTGCAGCAACAACCGCTAGTTCAAGACAAAAGGCACTGGATGGATCGGCATCGCCACATGACACGAGAGCTGGGATTAAAGTCACTAGAGCTGGCGGAACTCCTGAGACGAAAGGACGTAAGACAATAACTACAGAACCAGTTAACTATGCAGCACGGCGGGCACAAATTACACGCGCATATACTAAGTCAATTCATGAATCTGAACAGCAGAAGATTCGAGCATCTCATACACACCATGCCAACGATGAGAGTACTCAAGTCACAAACGGTGACGAAAGCTCCAAATCTGAACATGCGAACACTTCTACGAATGGAGATCAGATACCAGATATGCCTTCACTAGGGCCCGAATCATTACAGATCTTGACAAGCTTCGACCCACAAATTTCCCCGCCACCTGTTGAGCATCAGATTGTAATGGATCAAGATTCGCCAACTTTGGGTGTCACTAACGGCATGCCTGGAGCATTTGTTGAAGAGGATGTACCAATGTCCGCAATTTCGAATATTTCTGCCACGACTTTTATTGAAAACGAAGCGCAGACAGAAGCTGCCCGCCTTGCTCGTATCCCGTCTATAAAGCTTGCGGATTCAGTTGCAGTGCCTGCTCAAGTATTCAAAGTAGACGATGTGACTCCTGAGGATCGAGCAAATATCACAGCAGACTCTTTAGGAACTTCTATCGAGCCCACTTCAATAGAAGACACTCCTAAGGAGGATTTTAGTGAAGCATTACCAGAGTCCATTGACCATGATTTGACATCAGATGCCTCTGAAAGTCCATCAAATGTCATCACCTATGATGAGCAAGCCAAAGCCACTGTTACAGAGCTCCCAAGCGCGAAGACGTTGGCATCAGAATTTTTTAATTCGGACTCGATGCATCACATGGATTTCGAGGAAGCTGCTCCTGCGAGTATCAACCATGGCATTGCTCAGCCTACCGGTTTGGGTTTATACGACGAAAATTCTCAGCAGCTGGTAGGTATTCCCATCAGAATCGAAGAAGACACG